TCAAAATATTTTGAAATATATTGATATATGTTTTTTAGATGTGTAAGATAAATATTTAACCTTTAATGACGAATGAAGCTGTTTTCTTTTTCCATCAGATTGGTGACCTATTTCCACCCTAGGGCATAAAAATGTTTGCTATTGACTCTCGTTAAAAGTTGTGCTTGTGTAGTAGCTCCTCTGCAATACAGAAGTATAGGAGACCTCAGGGTGAAGGAGAGCTGCGATCTGAGGTGACAGGAAGTGTCATCACAGTTGTTGTGCGGGTGATTGACAGGCCGAGTCGCAGAAGGGAAGCAAACTTAGAGAAGCTGGAGGTGAAACCATTTGGACCGGATCAGCCGAACATCAAAATGTCCAAAGACAGATGGAGACGGTTCACTCACTCTTATTCCAGCACCTGGTTTAGCTCCAAGGCTAGGCTAACTGCATGCAGCGAGGCTAATGCTTTATCCTGCTTTCCCTGCCTCCTCTTTCAAACATCATAATCTGAGCCAGCGTGGATAAAGACAGCTAGGACTGATTTAAAGCAGTTTTTTAAAAAAGGCAAAGAAGAAGCTTCTGTTGCATTCTGAGACCAGACTGGAGCCCTGGAGTCCATGATGGACACCAGTTAATGGAGCCTTACAGCTGTTCCATTCAAACAGCCCTATGTTTAGAGCTTCGCTGTTTAAGTAACAAACTAGATGGGAAATTTAGGAGGATAGTTGGCCATAAACCCTCCTCTGATAAACAGGAATTTAATGTTTTTCTGAAGGAAAAAGAAATGTTTCTTATTATTTATTTGTCCTCCAGATCGAAGCTTCTGTGTCAGCAGCAACTGGAGAGGAGAGTCAGAGTCCAGCTTCCTGCAGCTCTCTGCTACTTGGAGCGAATGTGGAGCTTTTATTTGTCACTTCCTGTCAGGGAGAAGATTTTACAGCCGGCTTCGCTCCGCGGTTGCTCGTCTCTGGCTCGTCTGACGGCTGAATGTCTTCATTGTGGGGTTAATAAATTCTAAGCTATGAAAGTGCAGACATCCTCTGGGAACACCAGGGAAAACTCCTGCACTGCAAAAAATGTAAATCTAATTAAGTCAAATTTTCTTAAAATAAGTGCCTATTTTCCTGGATTGAGGTGGTAGGTGAGACACTACCAATGAAATAAGACAATTTACATTTAAAATAAGAAAGAAACAACTGCAGTATTTTATTTTAAGTGCATACTATCTAATTATCTTAATTTAAGGGTATAAATGGCAGATCATATTATTTTCCCACTCAAATTAAGATGAAAAACACTTAATTTAAGAAATTTTTACTCATTTTCAGAACGTTTTTGCAGTGCGCTGAGAGAAAGAAATATGTCCCTGAAATATCAACATGTTTACTTTGATATCAACGTCCTTTCTTCCTTGTCTTTTATTTTATTGTCATGGTTTTGCTTCTGTTTAAGTTTTATCTTTGAGTTTTTATTGGTTTTATTACCATTTTGTGTTATTGTAGTCATTTTTGATTGTCTTTGTCTTCTTAGGTATTTCTTGTTTGCCCTTTTGTGTGAGTCTCTTTTTCACTAGCTCCCTTCTAGACTCCTCTGTTCACACCTGCTCCCAATCTGCTGATAAGCCTGGACTTTGTTTCTCTCTCCCATATATGCACCTTCTGCTCAGTCACTGTTTGCTGGTTTGTCGTAATTTCTTTGCCCCCTCGTGAGTATTCCTGGATTTTCACTATTTTGGGATTTTGTGGATTACGTGTGTGGAGTTTTGCATCTGTTAACCTGTTTGTTATGAATCCTGCAAGAAACCAGTTCACTTTCAGTCTCTGCATTTGGGTCCTCTTCAAACTCCCACCCAACCTGACATTTTTCTTATTTTTCTTTTTGTCTTTGAAAGGAAGAAGAGTTTATCTAATTGACATAAAATAGTAAATAGAATAATATAAAATGTTTATCAGGCTGATATTCGACTTTTCTCCACAAGATTGAAAAAATGGCTCAAAGACGATCAAGAGTGTGAGCACTAAACTGGCTTGTACTGTACTTTTTTTAAAAACTTTTTTTAACTTCTCTTGTTTTTTTTTATGCATCTGAGTGTCGTTACTAACCTCCCTCCCCTTAATGCTAACACCTTTTAAAAGCCTAACCAGGGACAAAGGCTGCAAATTAGCCCATGGCTACAAGCCTTATGTACTGTACTTGGACATCGGCCACCTGTTTGGTTGCAATGTTTAATTGTACTGTCCCTGTCAAATAAACAAATAAAAAAAATAAATAAATAAATAAAAAATTTATAATAGTGACAAAACAACCAAAGCTAAAACTAGACTCATAGATTGAATTACACTTGAAGTGTGATGTTAGTTTAAGAAAGATCCATATCTCTACTTGCAGGAACCACTACTCTACAACATAGTCCGATATAAACACACTGTAGTTCTGGTTGTTTGATGAAACTTCATAAACAGGAATATTCAAAGTTGTCCATTGGGAGCCTGAAAAAAACGTCCCACTTGTTTTTTGTTTTAAACATGTTTTTTATTTATCTTTATCTGCTTTTATTTTTCTTCTATTGTAATATTTAATTCACATAAAGCAATTTGAATTGTCTGAAATGTGCTATACAAATAAACCTTAATTGCCTTATTCTTTTCCGCAAACCTAAAAGGAGTAAAACTAAATATATGAGGCGTCTAAAGAGACAATGGCTGAACACTGGAGACATTTATAGAACCGCATGTTCGTCTGCATGAAAAGGAGAAGCAGGAAGTCAATTTTTGGTGATAATCTGATTGGTTAAATAAAGGTTAATCATTAAAACTTGCTGTGTTTATGTGAAGTTTTACATGTTACAGCTCCTGTTTACATAAACTGGTCTTTGGTGAACTTCTGGTCCAGAATTGGAAGGGTTTAAATCCTTCTGAAGGGGCGAGATCTTTTTAGTATCCGTGGGTTACTTTACATCAAAGGCCATAGAAATTGCATATAGTGTTCCACAAGGGTCCATCTTAGGGCCCAGAATGTTCGTCATCCGGATCAAATTAAACAGATGTTATAGTTTTCGGACCAAAGGAAGAGCGTTTCAAAGTTAGCAGAAAAACGTCTCATCAAGCTGTATCGGTTGAAGCAATGTGGTGTTCTTGGCTGCTGGTTCCCCCGGTTCCATTTATGTGCAAGTTTACATCTCATTTCCTGTCAGTTACTAACACAACATGGCCGTCAAGAGGGAGCAGATCTGGAGAGGATTTCTTCAAAAATCATAGGAGTGAAGAAGCAGATAACTATCGTCACTGAAAAGATGAGAAATTAATATTATCCTTCGGGATGGGGAGTAAAACAATCTGGCGTTTGCCTCAGGGAGTCTGCTCCTCTTTATTGCTCCTGATGTTCCGCAGCTGAGGAGAGGTCAACCATAGTGGGCAAGGAAATGAAGAGACGCACAGCAACCTGTGGTTATGACGGAAAGTTCAAACAAACTGAGGAAAATAAGGGAATGATAATAAAGACACACGTAGCACTCTTCACTCTCTCTTCAGAGCTCTATGGCAGAACCTTGGTCTTGTTGGACCACCCATTAGGTCACGTCTCCAATTTGGACTGGGAGAATATTTCTGTTTATAAATGTTTTGGTATTTTTGATGTTCAATTTATTTCTATAGCTCCAATTCACATCATGTCATCTCAGGTCACTTTCCA